GGCTCCACAAAACCAGATTGAAGGCTTGAACTGGTCCAGATGCAGGGGATCAGGATGCAGTGGGTGGATCTGGATTAAGAGGGTAGTCCAGAGATCTGGGGACCTAAGAGCAGAAGTAGACCTGTCCCTAAGACTAGAAGTACAGAATGTAGGTGATGGGAGATTAAATTTGCTCAGGTTCCCAAAGGTTTGTCTTTAATTACTGAGATTATTATATGAATTATTTTCTTTAAGTCTGTAGATATGATGAGTCACATCATCTTATCCCAGTTAGAATATCTAAGATAAAACAAACAAACAAACAAATCAAAACAAATGAGAACAAATGTTGGCTTGGAGAAAGAGGAACATTTATTCATTGCTGATGGGAGTAGGAACTAGTGCAGCTAGTATGGAAATCAGTGTGGCATCTCCTCCAAAGGCTAGAAACAGATATAGCACACGATCCAGCCATACCACTATTGTGCATATGTCCAAAGGATTCCATATCTTAAAAAATATTTTATTATTTTTATTTTTGTATACAAATGTATTGCCTGCATGTGTATAAGTTCAGCCATGTCGTGCTATGCTCGTAGGTAGAAGAAGATATTGTATCCTTTGCAACTGGAGTTACAGATGGTTGTTAGCCACCATTGGGTGCTGGGAATCAAACCCAGGTCCTCAGCAAGAGCAGTCAGTGCTCTTAACTGCCAAGCCATCTCTCCAGCCCCAGGATTCTATTTCTTACTACAGAGACACCTATTCACACATGTTCATTTACGGTCTATTCACAATAGCCAGGAAATGGAAGCGACCTAGATGTCCATCAATGGATGGATAGATTATGAAAGTATGGGACATTTACAAAATGGAATCTTATTTAGCTATTAAGAAAAGTGAAATTCATGGGTAATGGATAGAAGTGGAAGCAGTCATCCTGGGTGAGGTAACCCAGACTCAGATAGACAAAGGTCCCATGTTCTTTCCCATGAGTGGAAGCTAGATTTGAATCTTTAGGTGTGTGTATTTTAACTAGAAAATACATAGAGGTCTGGAAGCCAGGACTTTTCTCCTAGTGGCCTACTTCATCCAGCTAAGTTATGTCTTAAGTTCTATCTCCTCCCAAAATAGTACCACTGTGATCAAACCCCCAGTGCATGAGCCTTTTTGGGCCCACCTCATATGCAAACTGTCGTAAGATCCACACCATATCATATTGTTAATATATATTGCATGTGTGGTCTAACAGATGATTGGTATTAGGCTTTGATTGTTAATGATTTGGAATTTGTGATGATAGTAATTCTGAATCATCATTGAGTAAGTATTCTTCATTAAGACCTCAATATTAGGGCTGATACTACTTTTATAACTTTTTTTTTTGCTAGCACTCATCAGTGAAGCACAATATTAAGATTTATGTGCGTACAACTTTTATCTCACAAACTGTAATAAATTTAATTGGTAGGGCTTATGTTATCTATTTTTGACTAAGTTTTAGATATTTGATTATTTCAAGGAATTGGTCTATTTCAACATTGTTCTTAAATTTATTGACATAATGTTTATGGTATGTGTGTGTGTGTGTGTGTGTGTGTGTGTGTGTGTGTTTTACTGAGAACTGAACTCAGGGCTTCACATATCTTACTTTTATTTTGAATCAGGGTCTCAATAAGTTGCTCAGGCTTGTCTTGTTTACAGTCTATCCCAGACAGGCCATGAACTTGTGATCTTGTTGACTCAGCCTCCTGAGTAGCTGGGATTACAAACCTGAGTGCCCAGGCCTGGCTATTATATTCCTTAAGCATGATTCAGTAACTATAGTATATTTAGTCAAAACATTACTGTCATGTTGATATTGTTCATTTGTATTCCTTGTTTTAATCTTCATTTTTCTGTGATTAGTCTAAGGGTAAAGTTTTCAATTTGTAGATAGTCTTAAAGATGGTTTCTTAAAAAGGATTTACTGATTTTTATTTTATGTGTATGAATGTTTGCTTGTATGTGTGTACATGCACTGTGTACACAGTTTGTGCCTGTGGAGGCCAGAAGAATGTGTTGGATCCCCTGGAACTGGAGATATAGATGATTGTTAGGCACCACAAGAGTACTGGGAATCAAATCCAGGTCCTATGGAAGAGCAGCCAGTGCTCTTAACTACTTAGCCACCGCTTCTAACCTAGATACACTTTGATTTAGTTGACTTTTTCTGTTGTTTCCAAGATTTTCTTCATTGTCGCTAAGGGTGATAATCTTTTGTTTTGCCTTATGAATAAGTGATTTTTTAAAATTGTTTTAATGTGGAAAATGAAGCCATTGTTCTTTGCTGGGTTTCTTTTTTTGTACTATGTGCTAAATTTCTTTCTAATTTCTTTCTAGTAATATACAATAAATTTTGTTAGATTGTTTATTCACATTCCAGTCAAAATACTTTTGAGTGTCCCCTTTGATCTATTGTAACACTCCTTACAATCATATTCCAATATCTGGAGAATTTTGTGTCTGCTTTCTGTAACTGATTTCTAATTTATCTCCCTTGTGTTGCATTAATTAAACTTGCAGAGATTTGTTTTATGTTTCAAGATACACTGATCTTGCCCACTGAATAATGACCAGCATTTGTTTGTTGCAGTGTTCTACAAATGTTAATTAGGTTAGGTCTGTTCAAGTGATGGTGTTCCTGCTTTCTGTGCCCTTACATCCTTATCCTTACAGACTTTTTGTCTATTCATTCAGCACTTTTTGTGAGAAGAATATTAAAATATCCTTTAGTATGCTTTTTTTTTTAAATTTTTTGAGACAGAGTCTCCCTATAGCCTCAGCTAGCCTGGAACTCATTATGTAGACCAGGCTGGCCTTGATCTCACAGAAATCCACTTTCTGCCTGCCTCTGCCTCCTGAGTGCTTGGATTAAAGGCACATGCCAGCATGCCCAGCTCTTCAATATGCTTCTTGTATTGTGAAGCTCTGTTAGTCTATGAATATATAGAATTGTTATACCATTTTGGTGAATTGATGCTTTTGTAATTATATAACAAACTTCTTAAACAAACAAACAATTTGATTTATATAACTAAGGCTTTCCCTTATGCGTTTAACATTACTGGTATTCTTTATTCTTTGTACTGTTCTATGTTTTAAATTCTGACATCACTTTTTTTCTATTTAAAGAACTTCCTTTAATATTTTTTGACACTTTCTGGTGATGAATTCTTTTAGCTTTTTTTTAAAAAAAAATTCTTTTAGCATTTGTAAGTATAAGCTTATACTTTACATTGTGAATGTTATTTTATCTAGTTAAGAAATAATTTTTAAAAAGTCATGAAAGTAGCAGGGGGGCTTGAATGAGGTGGTTTAGTGGGAGTGAGAGGAGAGAATATAATACATCATATATGAATGAAACTATAGAAGAATAAAAGAAAAATATATGATTATGGGTGAATTTCTCTTTTCTTTTTAGTGCTTAAAGATAGTATTATTTATTTATTAACTTTTTGTTTTTTTTAAATGCCGATTGATTCCAATATGTGCCTCCAAATGCTCCTGTATGTGGCCCATGCCAAAACAGAAATTAAAATAAATAAATTAAATGATAGATAATAATGCAGAACATGAGATGGGAGGTCAGTGGGGAGGGAAGAGGGAGTCTGATTGTGATCCAAGCATAGTGTATGAAATTCTGGTGTGGGAATGACTTTTATAAATGGACATAATCTGGAATAATAATTTTTTGATTTATTTGTTTTATTTTATGTGTATGAGTGTTATGCCTGCATGTATGTAGGTGCACCATGTCATGTAATGCTGGTAGAGGACAGAAGAGGCCATCAGATCCCCTGAAGCTGGATTTACAGACAGTTGTTAGACACCATGTGTGTGCTGGGATTCAAACCCAGGTCTTCTGCAAGAGCAGTCAGTGGTCTTAACTGCTGAGCCATTTCTCCATCCCTGAAGACTAATAAATTTTAACTCTAGCAAAACCATGTGCTCTTGTGTTGTGATTTGACCACCTGATTTCATTTTTTAGGCAAACTCAATTTGGTACTCCACCCAAAATGCTAATGAGTGAAAAGATGTGAGTATGCTTGAGGATTAACATCAAAGTGCTGAAGAGTAGCATTCCATCTCCATTGGAAATAGTGGAGATTGGGAAGGGGATATGACCTTGATGAATGAGATATTCTAGAACTAGGGATCAAAAGGCAGGATGGTGTGCTAAGACTAGGGTGAGGACAAGCTGGAGAGACCATTTTGGGTAAAATTATGGAAATTTTTTAATAGATTCAGGACACAATTTCAAGACAGAGTTCCAACAAGACAGTTCCATGAGCACAGTTCCAGGAGATAAACAGTTCTAAGAGATGTCTAGGGGAATGAGAGTCCTCTGAATTCTGCCTTTATCTTAAAAACTAATTTTAAGAATTAGGCTTTTATTTGTTCAGATAATTACATGTTGGTATATAGTGCCACATTCTGGAATCAGCAAAAAATATAAAAAAAGAATAAGGAAAGAGATTGTGTTATTTCAGGGTTAGTTTCCAGTGTCTCCTTAGTCTCCTCATTATGGGAGGCATGTTCTGTGATGTTTTAGTGAATGACAGGGCTTATAGAACTTACTTTGTAAGTGGTTTGATTATTAATATTGTCAACCTACAAGATCTAGAACAACATAAGAGACAAGCCTTTGGGTATCTCTGTGAGGGAATGTTGAGATTAGGTTGAGATGGGAAGAGCCACTTAAACTGTAGGCAGCATCATTCCATACTTTGGGCTCTTGGACTAAATAAAAAAGAGAAGGCAAGCTGGGACTCACATTTCCTCACTGTCTGCTTTTGACTGTAGATGCAGTGTGACCAGCTACCTCAAGGTCCTGCATGACTTCCCTGCCACAATAAGTTATTTATATGAACTGTGAACCAAAATAAGCCCTACCTTCTTAAGTTGCTTTCCTTAGGTATTTTGTGACAGCATCTCATAAAGTAATTAATAAAAGTAGTATTTTTCTTTTTTAAATACACAACCATATCAATAGAAGCACCAGATTTCATAGGCACCAAATCCAAGAAAACCAACGATGCCAGATAGTGAATTTCTATTGCACTGTTCTTTGAACACACCAGTAGGAGGGAGCTGCTGATTGCAGATACCATGAACTGTATATAAGGAATATTTTTCAACTTCTAAAACTACTTTGGGGTTTTATTTGGGGATAGATTATTTGTATACAGGTTGATCTATTGAATTCTTTAAGTTTTGTTAAGAGAAACTGTAAAACATTAGCTTAAGTTTAACTTTTTCTGTACTATAGAAATAAGACCTTTGTTAATGCTACATGTCCTAAGAGTTATATTTTCTAGTTTGGCCATCCAAACAGACATTATTCCCAGTCCTGGATGAGGCTCAATCAACTATTCTTTGGAATCCTTTGAAGTGATTCTGCCTTGCCCTCCACTGTCCCAGGCAGCTTTCTTATTTGCATGCTCTCCTCAGCACATCTTCAGGGTTCTTTCTTTGAGTAGTTCTTTCCCTTTGTCACTCACATTCTGATCTGCAAACTCTAACATCCCTGACTTTGTTGGACTCCCAGCTCTGTCTTAGGCATATTGTCTGGTACCACTGGGCTTTTCCCCCGAGTCACACAATGGACAGTTACTCTTGACAGAAAACTTGAACGACGATGTGAAACCTAACTCTTTGCTTCCATTCCTAATGCCTAATTCTTTGAGACCTTTTGTTGTATGCATCTTGTTTAGATTTTTATGATGTTTCAGGTGGATAGATTTGGTCACTGTTACTCTTTCTTGATGAAGCAAAATATTTCCCATTATTTTAAGGTTTAAAATACATCGCTGTAGTAGTTATGTGAAAATTTAACTAGATACCCATTGAAAGGCAGGAAGATTGTTTTGGGGTTTTAATGTGATAAGCAATAGAAAAAAAAACAAAATTTATGTCTATATTTTAAAACTTGACAGAGTGAAAGTGTCTCATTTTTAACTGATATGTACTCAGTAAAATATTTTTAGCTATGTTAGCTTCAAGTTAGATCTAGAAAAATTTCAAAAGTGGCAATTCAAAAATCATTACAGTAAGAGCAACAGAATTCCTGTCTCACAATTCTGAAGAGACTAGAACAAGCTATAAAAACTGTTAACTTGTTGAATTGATTTAAAATTTCATTTGTTTAAAAGTATTTTGTTGAGTCAGGCATGGTGGCACACATCTTTAATCCCAGTACTTTGGGAGGCAGAGGCAGGTGGATATCTTAGTTCAAGGCCAGCCTGGTCTACACAAGAATTCCAGGCCAGCTATGGCTACAGAAGACCCTGTCTCAAAAAGACATTATCTATCTATGTATCATCTATCTATCTATCTATCTATCTATC